GCGATGCAGGTCTCCCCCCCAGCTGTGAAGTTGCAGAAGGCCCTCAGCGCGTCCTGGGGGCTGCCCTGGTTGGGGTCGATGTAGTATTGCCCTGGAGGGAGGAGAGGAGAGCCCTGGCACCCAGGTTTGGCACAGGGAGGGTGCCACAAAGTGCCATCCCACCCCAGCTGGGGGCCTGGCTGCCAGCCCGTTTCTCCAGGGATGCCCACAAAGCCCATCTGACCTCATTCCCCAAAATCCTCATTCCCTCTTTATTTCAAAGAGCTGCCTGTCCCTTCACAGGCTCTGGAGACCAGGCCAGGTCCAGGGGGCCCCCATGCCCCTGGTACCGTCAGGCAGGCCGGGGTGAGCCAGCAGCAGCTCCTTGCAGGTGGTGGCTGGGTTGCTTTTGGTGCCATTGGGATGCTCCACGAGGGCTTGGAGCTCCCGGCTCAGGGAGTCCAGCAGAGCCCAGACCACGGTGTAATTCAGGTGGTTGGAGGAGTAAATAAGGTGCTGAAAGAAAAAGGAGGGGATATCACCAAGCTGACCACAGATCCCCCCGCCAGGAACATCATCAGGTGTTGAGGAAGGGGATGGCACGTGCAGGGGGCAAGGACTAGAGGGGAGAGAGGGAGTAGCTGGATCTTCATGGTCCTCGTGCACAGGCGACTTCAGAAGCAGCAGGACATGGGACAGCATCGCTGGCAGCTCCTTCCCTCCTGGGCAAGGGTCACTCACCTGCAGCTCCTCCTGGGACAGCATCAGTGCAGGCCCACTGGGACCAGGGGGGCCAGCCAGACCCTGGGGGACAATGACAGTGCTGGTGGCACTGGCTGCTGCCCACGAGCACCTCAGCAGCTCCTCCACCAGTGCCAGCAGCTGGACATCCCCATGGAATGACAGCATGGCACGGCAGAGCCTCACTGCCACGCTTAGGGGAGTGAGTGACCCAAATTTTGGGCTGAGGGGTGTTTGTGGCTCTGCTTACCGGCAATCCTGGTGTGCCCCGGGGGCCTGGCAGGCCCGGGAAGCCTCTCAGCCCCTGCCAAGGGAGGAGGTGGAGAAGGGAAAGAAAGCAAGGTGGGAGATGCTGCTGTGCTGAGCTGCACCCCCACGGGCCCCCTGCACCCCTGGAGTGGGAAGGAGGGAAGGGATCCCGTGGCAGGGCTGATCCCACTCCAGCTGCTCCCCACTGCTTACTTTGGGTCCAGACGAGCCCTGGAAGGAAAGGACCAGACCAGGTAAGAGGGAGGCAGGTGGGATCAAAGCTGCATCCCTGTGGGGTGAGGAGTGAACCCCAAACCTGTGGGAGGGGGAAGGACTCACCGGTGTTCCAGGAATTCCAGGGTGTCCCTGTGGGCCAGGGGGGCCAGTGTCACCCTGCAAGGACAACAGAGGAGCTCAGGACCATCGCCCAGCCCTGTATCTTCTACAACCCAGCCCCTTCCCCAGGTGGATTTTATATAGAAAAACAGGAAATTCACCCCAAACTCATTTCAGTCCCTGACATCCCTCTCCAGCCTGCCCTTACCTGCTTTCCCTTGGGTCCTGGCCTCCCAGGGACACCGTGGGGTCCTGGCTTGCCCTGGGAAATGCGGCAGGATGTCACACAGGGTGACAAGGAGCCAGGGGGGAAGGAAAGAGCAAAACCTGTCACACACCTTGAAGCCATCATCCCCTTGCTGGCCCAGGTCACCCCTGCTGCCCTTCTCGCCCTAGGAGAGAGTCAGGGAGAGCTTTGGTGGCACAGGGAAGGACAGAACCCCCAGGACAGCAGGGTGGGTGGGGAAATTCCCAGTTATGGCTGGCTGCAAAACTTCTGGAGCAAAACCCCCCCAGCACCCATCCTTTTGGTTCCAGAGAATTCACTGCACCCACATTGCTGGGGACGGAGGCAGCAGGAGGGGTGATCAGCTCCAAACTGAAAGGATCATCCCAGACTAATATATCTCACAGGGAAGCCTTGGAAGTTGCCAGGAATCACTTAGAGAGAATAAAGAAGACTCTTGGTGTGCTGAAACCAAAAAGGGAAAAATCCCAGCACAGCCACCCCTCTGCCTGCTCTCCCTGGAGCTGATCATTGAGCAGACAATAAATTTAAAGTTTTAATGATTCCCAAGGTTTTGTTTTCCTGAAGGCTCTGAGCAAGTCCCCATTGCCAGAGATGGGATGGGATGGGATGTGCTCAGTTTTTCCAGCCAAGGATCCATCAGGAATGGCACAAAGGAGGTTCAGCTCGTGGTGATCAGCATCAATGCTGAGAGCAGGGATTAAAAAGCTCCACACTGCTGCTTGCAACCCCAGGAGGAAGGAAAAAACTGCAAAAGGACTGTATATGGGGGAAAATCTAAAGGTTCTATCTCCCAGCACTCGGAGACATGGTGGCCAACCCTCAGAGAAAGATGGTGCAGCCATCAGGGCTCAAAAAGAGGAGAACAAGGGATGGCATTCAGCAAATTAAATGCCACCCAGCATCCCTGCTGTGCCTGGCACGTGTCCCCTACCTTGTGTCCTTTCGGTCCAGGCTCTCCTTTGATGCCCTTCAGCCCCGGGATGCCCTAAGAGAGAAATGTGGAACTGCCTCACCCTGCAGCTGAGCTGCTCCTGTCAGCAGCAGGGCCCTCCCCACACCTGAGGATTCTGAGCATTTCAGGCAGTTTTAGAAGCTTTGAGGTATTTTCTCATTGTTTCTTTCAATTTTTTCTTTCAGGAGGATCCCTCAGCAAAGCCCATTAAAAATGCACTAGAGGTGCCTTGGATGGCTGAGAATATCCAGCTTGTTTTTTGTGAAGTTGCCAAAGTTGGGCTTTTTTTTTTTATTTTAAGCAGAGGAAAATCAATTTCTAGTAATTAAAATGAGTATTTGGGTGCTTTTTGCTGGCTGCAGTTTGTCCCTCCAGCCATGACAGCTCACTGGGAATGTGGGTACAGTCCCACCAGTGCTCAGCACTGCCTGGCATCAGACACATGCCTAAAAGAAGGATTTGGCTTCCAGAACCACATTTTTGGGATGATGTGATTTGTCTGACTGCACACACCCTCCTGGGATGTTAATTTGGGAGGAGAAGACAGGAGGAGATGGATGAACCATTTAAAAACTTCCCTCATCTCATTTTAAACAGATCCCTGCTTCGGGGCCCTGCAGAGCTGGGTCACACCCTGGGGTCAAACAGGGAGCAGGCAGCACCCCAGAACCCCACACTGATACTCACGTAGGGTCCCTGGGGTCCCTGGGGCCCTGGAAGTCCTTTGTCACCTGGGTAGCCCTGAAATGCAAAGGGAGAAGCCCTGGCAGTGCCCAGGGTGATGCTCCAGGGCAGGGAGAGCAGCCCACGGGGGCTGTGGGTGTGGGAGATGCCCCTGTTGGGCTGGGAGCTCTGGGGGCACAGAGCCCTCTGTTATCATGGTTTATTCTTTTCTAACCCGGGGCTCAGGCAGGTGGGAGCACCCCCAAACTTCCAGGGGGCAAGGCAGCCTGACAAAGCCACCTACCTTGTGTCCCCCGGGACCCCGCGGGGGCTGCTGGCCCGGCTTGCCTCGCTTGCCCTGGGGACCACAGATGAAAGACTCACAGGTAGCTCCAAACTGATCCAGACACCCCTCATCCCTCCAGGATCCCCTCTCCAGGGATTCTGAGCACCCAGAAAACTGGGACCACCCTGCAGAGCCTGCACGGGCTCCAAGGAGCAGCTCCCTGCCACCCTGGTGGGGACAGCAGTGCCATTTACCCGTCTGCCAGCTTCTCCTGGGACCCCTCTGTCCCCTTCCTGCCCCGTGTCACCCTGGGGGAAGAAGAGAGGCGGGATGTGAGTCTCCAACAGCTCAGCCACATCCCAGGAGTGGGGAGGAGGAGATGGGGACAGAGCCCAGCAGGCACGGAGGGATTCTGGAGATGGGCACCAAGAGCTTGGGAGGCCCCCCAGGTACCACCTGAGCCAGGCTGGAGGCAGGATCTGCCAGCCCCTCACCCAAAAACCAGCCTAAGGCAGCCCAAGACCATCCTGTGTTTGCCAGGTGGGGAAAAACAGGTCCTCCTGGGCAATTCTCAGTTTTCTCTCCATGGTTCCCAAAAGGATTGACCAGCTCAGGCTTGCCCACCCCACACCCACTGGGCAGCCCCCTCAGGCGCCATCCCAGGGGTGCATTTTGGGGGTACCTTATCTCCTTTGCAGCCTTTCCGTCCTTTAGGACCAGCTTGTCCAGGAGACCCCTAAAATCCCAAAGGAGAAGGAAACCCCACTGTGAGGGCGCTGTGCCAGGGATGCCCCTCCTGGCTTCCCTCCCAGTGTGCACAGGAGGATGCTGTAAGCTGGAATCTTCCCTTTGGGATTTTCCCTCTCTGTGGAGCAGGCTGGGCAGAAGGGGCTGTGGGAGGGTGCAACAGGAGCAGGAGATGCTGCCTGCATTGGACTTTTGATCCAGCATCCCACAGCCTCTTTCAGGAAGAGCCACCACAGCTCCATCCCACTCCTCACCATTTGTCCTGGTTTTCCCGGCTCGCCTGGCTCCCCTTTTGCACCCACCAGGCCCTAAGAAGGAAACCAGAGTTCAAAGCAAATCCAGAACTTTGGGTTATTCAGATATTTGGGTTATTCTGTGAGGGACACAGATCTGGGAAGCTGGAAAAGCTGGAGCAGGGAATGGGGCAGAGAGGAGCCTGCTCACCTCAGTGCCACTCAGCCCGGTGGCTCCAGCTTCGCCCGGTGGCCCGAGAATCCCCTGAGTTCATTTGGGGACAAAACAAGAGGCTGGCACCAGGGGAAGGCAGGAGGGCACAGCTGGGGCTGTTGTCCCCAGGGATGTCCCCTGCCCGTCCCCCTGGAGCACAGGCGTTACCTGCCGGCCTGGCTGGCCCTTGGTGCCCACCACTCCTCTGGCTCCCTCGTGCCCGCTGTAGCCCCGGAGCCCGGGGGCACCTGCCAGTCCCTGAGCCCCCTGCGAGCCCTGCAGGGCACAGAGACGGGGACACGGCTCAGCCCCATCCTCAGCAGGGCCCGAAAAGCCACCAACAGGGGACTTCATCTGCACTGAGCTTTGCAAAACGACCTGGGATTTATTCCACAACAAATTCACCTGGGGTTTATTCCACAGCAAATCCACCCAGAGTTTATTCCACAGCAAATCCCCCTGCAGTTTACTCCACAGCAAATCCCCCTGCAGTTTACTCCACAGCAAGTCCACCTGGAGTTTATTCCATAGCAAATTCACCTGTAGTTTACTCCACATCAAATCCCCCTGTAGTTTACTCCACAGCAAATCCCCCTGCAGTTTACTCCACAGCAAGTCCACCCAGAGTTCATTCCAGAGCCTGACCTCTCCCAGCCAATCACCCAAGCTAAAGCCTTGGAACAACCTGGTCTGTGGAAGGTGTCCCTGGCCATGGCAGGGGATAGAATCTAATGAGCTTTGAGGTCCCTTCCAACCCAATTCTGGGGTTCTGTACATGCACGTTTTGCCTGGGCAAAGCAGCACTGCAAAATGGGAAAACCTGGATGCAAGTGGGATTTATGCTGCAGCTGAGCTCAGGGCATCCATAACACATCTGGGCTCTCTGTCGTGACCATAATCCCCATCCTGGGGCACCTCAGGTGTTCCAGGCACGGGGCAGCTCCCAGAGCCACAGGGACACCTGTGGATCTGCTCCAAGGAGAGGGAAATTCAGAGCCCTGGAGCTTCCTCAGGCAGACTGCAGCCCTGGCACCTTGGCACGGCTTTTAACAGCTCTATTAAAATTCCTTTGGGGAGCTTTAGCTTTGGAATCTCAAGGAAGCAGTGACTCAGTCCCCGAGCGGGGCAGAGTTCACTTTGCAGCCACCCCCAGGGTGAGACACATCCCAAAATGCCACCAAACCTCTTTCCCAAGGGAATTTTTGAGGGCAGAGCTGGTACTCACCACCGGGCCAGCCTTGCCATCATCTCCCTTTACTCCATCATCTCCAGCCTGTCCCTGTGGGGACACGGGGGCTCAGAAAAAGCTCCTCACCACCATGTCCTTCACCTCTGTGGGGACTTGGAGCATCCTGTCCCACATCCCATGCTCAACAGGCCATGACAGCACTGGGAACCACGTGGGAGTGAACAGAATTCGGCAGCAGGAACAGGTTTTCCATGAGGCACCACTGGGTGCTGGAAAAGGTCTGATTTTGGGGGTTTAGGTACTGGAAGTTTGGGGTTTTTAGGGTCCTGGGAGCCAGTGCTGAGGTATGAGGTGTTAAACCCCCTCCTCATTTCTGAGCCCCCCAACCTGGCCAGTGAAGGGGCAATAAATCCTTTGGGTTGTACTGGAAATAGGGAAGAGCTGGAGAAGCCTTTGGCAATTCCCAGCTCTGCAACATTCCTGCATCAGTACCTGGAATCCTGCAGCCCCAGCAGGTCCATCCACGCCTCGTGGCCCTGCATCTCCCTGGGAAAGGAGAGGAAACAGCTCTGTCCATGGAAAACCCTCACCTGCCCTGCTGGCTCTGCACCTCAGGCAGCAAGGGAAGGGGTGTCCCATGGCAGGACCCCTGTCACCAGCCTGCCCAGGACATCCATGCACCAGTCCCAGCATGTTCCCACTGGGAAATGTGGGGATTTCCCACATGGGAATTCCTTGGGAAGAGGCCAGAAAAGGGAGTTTCACCCGGAGATGAAGGGTTGGAGCCATCATCTCTCTGTACCTTCTCTCCCTCGGGACCGTCGAGCCCGGGAGGACCTCGGAGTCCTGGTGGCCCCTGTTCAGGGCACAAGCAGAGGGACACAGGTCACAGCCCTGCCAGTCACACAGATGTCCCCTGGCAGCTCTGGGACAGAGGCAGGGCCCTGCCCAGTGCTCCCGGTCACACAAATGTCCCCTCACCAGGTCAGTGACAGAGATGGGCCCTGCCCAGTGCTCCTGGTGACATAAATGTCCCTTGCCAGCACTCCTGGTCACACAAATGTCCCCTGCCAGTGCTCCCAGTCACACAAATGTCCCCTCACCAGACCCATGACAGAAATGGAGCCCTGCCAGTGCTCCTGATCACAAAAATGTCCCTTCAGCAGGTCTGGGACAGAAATATAGCCCTACCAGTGCTCCCAAGTCACAAAAATGTCCCCTCACCAGGTCAGTGACAGAGATGGGCCCTGCCCAGTGCTCCTGGTGACACAAATATCCCCTGCCAGTGTTCCCAGTCACACAAACATCCCCCCCAGCAGGTCTGGACAGGTTGAAAGGGGACAGGGGACATGATCTGACTTACCAACCATCCTCTGGCTCCGGCAGGTCCTGCAGCTCCGGTGACACCGCCCTGGCCCTGGCACACAGAGAGGAATGTTCCCAGCCTGGCAGGAACTCGGCTGGAGGCAGCATTACCCCAAACTGCCCCACAAACCCAAACCATCCTTCTGTGCCAGCAGGACCCAGCTTTGGTGTCATGCCTGTGAGACATGAAACTCCCCAGTTATGGAGATTTGACAATTCCTAGGGTTTCTGCAGCTCCCAGAGGCCAAGGTTTCCAGCAGGGGTGAGTGGCCTCCTTGGCACCATCAGCCAGCCTTTGGGGACATTGCAGGGTGAGGTAGCCCAGCCCCAGCTCTACTTGCCAGCAAACCTTCTCGGCCCTTCTCTCCCTTCTGGCCTTTCCCTCCAATTTCACCTGTGGCAGCTCCTGGACCGGGAATTCCAGGAATGCCCCTGGGACCAGCATTGCCCTGCTCAGGGATGGAGACAAGTGTCACCACAAAGAGGGAAAAGAACAGCAATAAATGAGCTTCTGCGTGGAGGTGAGCTGTGTCACCCTCTGGCAGGTCACCCTGGGCTGCTCCTCAGCCATGGGGACACCCATGGAGACACCTCTGTCCTGCTCTGTCCCACCATGGAGCAGCAGAGGTTGAGCAGGCATGGGGTGTTCCCGAGGTGCTGGAAAGAGGGACAGGGTTAGAGACACCCCTCACCTTCTGTCCCCATGGTCCTGGTTCACCAGGGTCTCCAGTGTCACCAGTGTCACCCTGCCCGGGGGGAAATGCCCACATCAGACACAGCAGCTGCTTCCCAGCCCCATGCCATGGTGGGATAAAAGATGGGATTTGATTTCCATGGCCTTCTCCACCCTCCCCTGGCTGGGATTCTGATGCTGGGTAAGGCACAGCCTCACCTCCTGTGCTGGGAGACCACCCCAGCTGTGACCCCCCAACCAAAAAGGAAGGGGGAAAAAAAGCCGAACAAAACCTGCCCAACAAGGGAAACCCAAAACAACAAACCCCCGTTCCATGGGAGCATCCCAGGCTCTGTGGGGCAAAGCCATGGCTTGGGCAGGGTGCAGAGGCAGCACCTTTCCCTTTCCCATTCCCTGTGGGGCCAATCCCACACGTACCTCCTTGCCTTGCTTCCCAGGCCGTCCTGGTGGCCCCTCTGTCCCCTCGTCCCCTGGCTCCCCAGGGCTCCCTCTGATGCCTGGAGCTCCACAGGTTCCTGCCTCTCCCTGGACAGGATGAAGATGACCAGGATGATTCTTGGCTGCCTTTTCCAGCTGAGCCTTTTCCCATACTGGGAAAACCCCAGTTTTCTTATGGGGACACCCCTGCCATGCCCAGCAACATCAATCCCCAGGCACGAGGATGCTGGGGGGGATTCAGGTGCCTGTGTGACCCTGCAAGAGTGGGGTGAGCCCAGCATCACCCCCAGCACCCACCTGCTCACCCTTGGGCCCCAGCTGACCCTCTGCTCCTGCTGGTCCTGGTGGTCCCTGTTGGGGGAAGAAAAGCCCAGCCCTAGCACAGCTCACGGGCCCAGCTTTAACCTTCTGGCTTTTTTGAGGCTCAGCAGCCTGCTCCCATCCTTTCCCACCCTTGGAACAGGGAATTGAGGGGGGGAGGCTGGAGCAGAGTTCCCAGCTGTTGTACCTGCTCCCCATCCAGCCCGCGGACTCCGGCTGCCCCGGGATGTCCCACCTCACCCTGCAGAGGACACAAAGTCAGGACAAGCAGCCGTGCTGGTTCTCTGGCTCTGCAGCTCCCCGAGATGGAAACCCCCATCCCACAGCCATGGGGCCAAACTGGGAGCAGTGCTGGCCCCCACAGCCCTGGGGAGGTCAGTGGGGTGAGCCCAAGGCTCTGGGCAGCTCTCAAGGAAACCAAATCCTCTCCTTTGTCCTCACCTTCTCTCCTCTCATCCCTGCAGGCCCTTCACGTCCCTTTGGACCTTCCCGGCCCTGAGAACAAACACCCCACATCAGCAGAGGGGCTTGGCCCGAGCTCAGGAGCCTGTGCAGGGGGCGAGCAGGGTCTGGGATGTCCTGACACACCACCCAGGGAATCCCTGCTCCAGCTCCTCAAGCCCCCTGCAGCAGCTTCCCTTTCCCTTCCCTTCCTGCAGCTGCTTCAGGGAGCTCCCCACAGGAGCTGCTGCAGCAAAATTCCAAATTCCTGTTGTTATGTGTAGTAGATATAATTCGTGCCATTTCTAGTATGATATATGTGATATTGGATATTTGTTGGAGTATACACGTTTGTATTAGGAGTCCCCCCCCCCTCGCAGGCGAAACCTGGTGTATGTTGAAACCCGATTTACAGGTAAAAGGACGTGGCTGGCCAGGAGATGGGGATGGGCCATGGCTGGGGAGATTTGGGGACCCCAGGTGCTGATCATGGTGTGAACGACCCGGGATGGATCTCATGGAAATCCTCGGGCAGATCCATGGGAATGCAGTGTTCCCATAAACTTCATTAAGGGATTCACCAACTCCTGACACTGAATTGTTCTTCTTCATCACCAAAAAAGAAAATCTCATTAACCTATGGGCTCTGAATGGAAGAAAAGACTGATTGCTGAACTCTTGGCCTCAGGTGGAATTTTCCCTATAAAAACCACTCGTGCCAGGCTGGAGGTGTGTGGGCACAGAGGAAAACCTCTGCTGGGGCTGACTCCTTGTTGCACACCCAGGGCCGACCCCGGGCTCGGCTCTGTTCTTTCCTTGTGGCTGGCTAGATAGAATTTGATTGCAAAATAAATATTTTATATTTCATTTTAATTTGGCTGGACAAATTTTCGTTCATAACGCTGTCCTGAGAGGCTGCCAGCAGCACTCACCGGGTAGCCAGGCGGGCCAGCAGCACCAGCAGCTCCAGGAGCGCCTCTTTCCCCGCCCATGCCAGGCTTCCCAGGAATGCCAGCCAGCCCTCTCGTGCCAGGAACGCCCTGCAAGGCCAGAAAAGCCCCTCAGACCCCCCAAAACACAGCTCTGGGGGGGCTAAGCCAGGGAAAGCCCCGTGGCTGATGCAGCTGGGTCACCTCGGGGTCCAAAGGTGCCACCTGCTCCAGGTGTAGGACATTGCTGTCCCCACACCCCACTTGTCACCACCCACACACAGGGTTTGGGGTTCCCTGCCCCACAGCCACACCAGGGATAAAAACACCCTGGAGTGGCACCCATGTCAGTTGAGTTTTTTGGGTTTTCTTGCTCTAGGGTTGGGATTAAATGTGTGAGGCAGTATTTTTTGTTTGGATTCAGATGTTTATTAGTTCTTATCTATATTATAGTCTCACAAACTGTGAGCTCTGTAGTACTTCACTCTAACAAATTAAAAATTGAACTGTATTTCTCTTTCTACAAGGTTTTTTAAGGATAAACTGTCTAATTAAGAAATGACACTTAAATTATTTTTACTTTTAACCCAATAACCAACCACCTGTGGCCTGCAATGTAGACTTGTTCATCTAATTACACACTACTACTTATACCTATGAAGAAGAAGGTGAAGAAGGTGAAGAAGGTGAAGAAGGTGAAGAAGGTGAAGAAGAAGGTGAAGAAGAAGAAGGTGAAGAAGAAGAAGGTGAAGAAGAAGAAGGTGAAGAAGAAGAAGGTGAAGAAGAAGGAGCAGCCTCTGCCCTAAAACCTCCAGCTTGCTTTATATATATTACAATATTCTAAAACTTTAAGTTTCCCACCCTGTGATATTAGACACTTCTATCCAAACTCCACCCCCACAATCCCAGTTCTGCCATTCCATTCTGGAAGCTTCCCCACAGCCTCAGGTCAATGCAGTGTTCTCCTGGGGGTCAGTGCCTGGCAGCACAGAAAGTCTGAAATTCTCAGTGACCAGGGTTCCTACAGATGCCCACCCTGTGGGACATGACCCCACCCAGCAAGGTGCAGCTCTGCACTTACAGGCAGCCCTGGGAGCCCTCGAGGACCTGGGTCACCTGTCCTGCCCTGGGAAAAGAAGGATCTTCAGCAGTGTGTCCATGGAACGGGGGACCAGGGAACTGGGATCAGGGTGAGGCTTTGCTCAGAGAAATCCCCACATCCTTGGGGATTGTCCCCATCTCAACAGCATCTGTGCCACATCAGGACAGAGCCCAGCCAGCAGGGAGTGGGAGCAGGGCCCTGCCTGCTCCCAAAAAGGGCTCTGGGATGGATCCGTGCTGCAGAGGGATCGGAGCAGCCAGGAACACAGGGAGCAAGGAGAGCCCTACCTGGGAGCCTGGAGCACCACGAGGACCAGGGGGACCTGGCAGGGCCTGGGGGACAAGAGCACCATCGGTGACACAGCCCTAGCTGAGCCCCCTGCCCACTGAACTGCAACCCTGGCAGAAGCTCCCCACGGCAAAGCTTTCCCATCTCCCCTTCCCAGCCCAGCACACAGAACTTGCCTCCTGCTCTCCTGGGGCTGGGGCTGCCCAGAACAGCAGCAAACAGTCCTTATCCTCACCTTTGGACCAGCTTTTCCTGGAAATCCTGGTGGACCTTGAGCTCCCCTTTCTCCCTGTTAAGAGGCAAGAAAGATTTCCTTTCCTCTGTATGTTTTAATGCAAAAACCTCATAAAAAAAAGCACAGCAAAACGAACAAAAAACAGCTCTGAGAATAATCCAGAGGTGTTGGGGCAGAGGAGGTGCTGGAGTGCCAATGGTTCACCTGCTGTGGGAGACAGATCCAGCTCTTCTCCTCCCACCATGGCTGGTGGAGACTGTGGACACCTCCAAACCCATCCACTGGCTTCAAAACTCATCCCAAAAATGCTTCCAGTGCTGGAGTGGGTGTCCCATCCCTACCTTGTCTCCCCTGCGTCCCAGCCTCCCGCGGTCTCCAGCAGGTCCTGGGTAGCCCTGGGAAGAGCTCGGGGTTAGGAGGCAGCTGGGGCTGCCTGGCATCTCTGTGGTTTTGGGAGAAGGTGGCTGAGGAGAGGCAGGAGCCTTGGGAGGATGGTGAGAGCCCAGCTGGAGGCTGCTCAGCCTCCTCCCAGTCCGGCCACCGCCGTGCCCCCTCCGTGGGCAGCTCCATCACTTACATAGGTGCCCACAGGTCCTTGTGGCCCCTCCAAGCCAGGCTTCCCAGGCAGCCCCTGGCAGGCAAAATGAGAGAATGAGCCAACCCCCACCCTGGGGATACAGTCCAGCACCCTCCCTTCCTCAGTGATCCCACGGGATGTGAGGAGCCCTTGGGCTGGGCCCATGGGATCCCCCCAGGTCTCCACAGAGCCTCTGGGGGCTGTGCACCACCATCACTCCCCAGCCAGCCCCCCCAAACCCAGCTCTCACCTTTGGGCCCAAGCAACCTGGCTCTCCATCAGGTCCAGGCTTTCCTGGAGAGCCCTTTGGGATTATTTGGGGAGGAGGTGTCAGTCAAAGCTGAGAGGAGCCCTCCGAGCCCTCACTGCTGCCCGGAGCTCATGGCCAGGGGCCACCTGGACCCGGCAGGGTCACAGGGGGCAAACTCGGCCACTGTGGCTGGTGCTGGTGGCTCCTGCACGCCGACCCCCATGGCTGGCAGCGCTGCCACCAGGGCAGGTGCCAATCTTGCTCTCAACATCACCACCAAGCCCAGCTGAGTGCAAGCTCTCAGGGAGGAGCTGTTCCAGCTGCAGGAGCTGTTCCAGGTCTCCATCCCAGGTCACTGAGCTGGAAGGGACCCACCAGGATCAAGTCCAGCCCCTGGCCCTGCCCAGACCCCCCAAAATCCCACCCTGGGCATCCCTGGCAGCGCTGGCCAAAGGCTCCTGGAGCTCTGGCAGCCTCGGGGCCGTGCCCATTCCCTGGCCAGCCTGGGCAGTGCCAGCACCCTCCCCCTGAACCCGTGCCACCCTCTGCCACGGGGGTCTCCTCCCAGGACCCAGAGCCAGCTCCTGCTCGGCCATGGAGGGCTTCCATCAGCTGCCATTCCCCATGGACACCCTGCCAGGCTCAGGGAGGCTCACAGTTCCTGGAGCAGGCTGATTCCTTGGAGGAATGATTCTGCTCCCCCCTAGCCCCAGTTATTTCCACCACTGAGGCTTTTAAATGTGTTTTATCAACCAGCCAAGATCAGGTCCTACGGATGCCCCGATTCCAAGGAAAGTCCCACATTCCCCACCAGCAGCACCAGCCCCACTGACAGCCCCCATGGAAAAACACACAGTTCATGCAGAGGAACATTTTTTTTCCTTACTATGGATCCAGGAGTTCCAGCGTGGCCACGGCCCCCTGGCAAACCAGCAAATCCCTGGAGGGAAGGGCAGCAGAGGAGCCATGGAGGGAAGGCAGGAGAGGAGGATGGAGAGATTCAGCCTGGGTTTGAGCCCCACCCAAAGCACAGGTGAAGAGCCCAGCCTGGTCAAGGCAGCACTGGGGATTTTCCTTCAAATCCTCTCCTGGATTCCTCATGGAATCACTACAGCTGTGTGGGGACAGACACAACACCACTCGTGCCCGAGACACTCAGTGTGATGCTGGCAGCACTCAGGTGTGTCTCTGACCCAGTTTTCATCCTCTTTTTTGAGGGAAGTGCCAGATCTTTATTTTTAATTTTTTTTATTTTAATTTCAGAACAAAGATAAATATCTGATATCCTGCAAAAGGGAAAACCTGCTGCCAGCCCCAGTCTTGCTGCTGGCTTTGTTCAGGCTAGCAGTGCCAGGGGTGGGAAATCCCACTGCCCTGTTCCCGATCCTTCATCCCTGAGCAGGATTCCCAGAGGAGCACCCTCCAGCTGCCCATGGACATGCTTTGGAGGCACATTCCCAAAGGGATAAAGCTGAGCAGAGGGATGGAAAGCCAGAAATCAGCTCTACTCACCAGTGGTCCCCTCCTGCCTGGGCTGCCCACGATCCCTGCATGGCCCTGCAGGATGAGCAGAAGGATCAGGATGAGGATGAGGAAGCAGAACAGCCTCTCCCAGGCCCCATCATGGCAAAGTCCACAGTACCAAGGTCTTGTCCTCATGGCCATGGGATGGAAGGTTGGGAAATGTCCCCACCTGTTGGAACTCAAAATGTCCCTCAGACATTTTTAGAGGCTCCAGGCCCAGGTCAGAGGCATTTGAGACCCTGGCAGGCAGCTGCAAACAGCTGTGATTTTGGGTTTGAGCCATGGGATGATTTACCAACCTTGCAGGAAGAACAAGAAGTCACAAAAGTTTAGATATTAGAGTAGAAGTAGTCACAAAGTAAAGGGAAGAATTTCTGAGTGCTGTACAGGGGGGTTTTGGTTTTGTACATGGGGGTCAGAGGTTTTAAGATGGAGGGATTTGGGCCTGCCCTGTCCTCCCTCTTTCTCCTTCCTCACCTCCATGTTCTTGGTGATGTTGGCACTCACAGATTGGTTTAGAGTAGAAAATCCCCATTTAATATAGGTAATAGGCATTGGGGAAAAATTGTAACCATGTCACACGTAATGTACCATATAAAAGATAGAAAATCCCCATTTAATATAGGTAATAGGCATTGGGGAAAACTGTAACCATGTCACACGTAATGTACCATATAAAAGACAGCAGCAGCCCTGGCGGGGAGAGAAGAAGCAGTCGGGGTCAGAGAGGATGTCAGGGTGTGTGTGTGCCTCTGCCTGAGCTGGGAGCAAACCACAGCAGCCCCAGAAGAAAATCTTTTAGATAACTTGCAATAAACTGCCTTGAGACCAAACAACAGAGACTGCTGAGCCTTTCTTTGGAAGCTCAGGCTGGAGGAGAGACCTTTCCACCACACAGAGCCACCCCTGACCTAGAGCTCCGGCACCCACGGATGATATCAGCTCTTGTCCCACACAGCCACAAGGATGGGAGGTTGGAAGTGTCCCCACTGATGGTATCAACTTTTGTCCCTCATGGCCATGGGATGGGAGGTTGGGAAGTGCCCCCATGGGCTCAGCTGCCCCTGCCCACACATCCCAGCACCCCGTCCCCAGGCAAGTACAGATGTAGGATGGGAACCTGTGTACCAGGCTTTCCTTCTGCGCCCTCCGCTCCCGGCACGCCCCGCGAGCCCTGCAAGGAGAGTTTTGCCTCAGGGTGGCCCCACCAAGGGCTCCCCCAGCCCCAGAGCCACCCTGCAGGGTGACAGTGTGGGACAGCAGTGGTGGCACTGCCTGTGGAGATGTGCATTCCTCCATGCACAGCTCATCCCACACAGCTCCTCCCTGCTCCATCCATTGGGATGGGAAATAACATCCCACGTGGGAGGGAAGCTGTTCCCACCAGGAACACCTCAGCTGGCGTTTTCCTCCTCCTGCCCCAGCTATTTATTCCTGATTCCTTCACCAGCCTCATAACCTTCCTTATATGGTTCTTTCCTGGAATTTTCTGTGCTCAGCATTCTGAGGGAAGTCGTGGTGTTGGGCAGGTGGTTTGTCAAAATGCAACGTGCCACAGCCTGAGATGCTCATCCTCAACTTTTCCTTCTCAAATGCCTGACCCTCTGTGCTGGGCCACATCCCAGGATGCTGCTCCCACGTCCCAGAGCCAGCAGCTCCCCATGGCAGCCCAGGGATGTGGGATATCCTCTACTCACAGGCAACCCAGGGACTCCAGCCAGCCCACGCTGCCCCACACGGCCCTGGAAAACAGCAGGAATCACAAAACAGCAGCAAAGCTGCAGATCTGGAGGAAAATCTTGTGCCTGAAGGATGTGCTCTGCCCCAGCACATCCCAAGCCAAGCAAGGCATGTTTCAATCCAGGGCTGTTTCAATCCCCACAGCCAAAGATGCGCCAAGATCCAGCCCCAAATTCCAGCACCCCGTTAGTTACCCGGGCTCCCCGCGGTCCTGGGGTTCCCTTGGGGCCATCAGGTCCTTGGCATCCCTAAAATCCACAGAAAGGGAAACACAGAAATTGCAAATCTACAGGGGCAGGTCAAGGGGAAGCCATGCACGGGGAGGGGGACAAGAAACCCCCCCAGGATGGTGCCCCTGGGTGCTGGGACCCTGGCAGGGTGGGCACATCCCTGGAATTGGGCAGCCCATGGGAAAGCAGCAAATTCTGGCACTGACCTTGGGTCCCTCGCTGCTGTTTAGCCCTGCAGGGCCAATCTGACCTTCTTCCCCCTGCCAGGAGAGAGGGGAGGACTGATCCAGGGAAAACACAGCCCCTGATCCCGGGGGAGTCACCAGCTGGCTGCTGGTGTAGGGAAAAACACTGCGAGTGTGACCAGAGGTGACATTCATAAATGGCACCAGCTGAGCTTTGGTGGGAATGGGGACTTCCCCATCCCCCAGGGCTAAAAAACCAGACAGAGAGAAAAATCTCAGCAGTTGGGTGTGGCCCAAAGTGACACATTTGGATATTTTTGTTTCCTGGTGGACAAATTAAAGGCAGTTCCATGGACTGCTGTGCCAAGACTCCAGCCCCTGTGCCAGCAGCGCTGCCCAGGAGGGTGGACAAGGCAGGAGAGGATTCCTGCTGCATCCCCAGCTCCTGGAGAGGTGGGAGCAGCTGCCACTCATCCTGGAGAGCAGATCCAGGAGGGTATCCCAAAAGCCTTGGGAGTGGGAAGGTGACCACTGCAGACTGGAAAGGTGGGTGGGGAAGTAATCCCCCTTTTTCTGAGGAGCTGGGAATCACTGGGGATCAGCAGCCAGCCTCAAGCACGGATCTGGAGGTGGGTTCAGCCTCCCAGCCAGCTCTCAGAGCACACACTGCAGGAAGAAGAATTCCCAAAGCCCCACAGGCTCCAGGAGCAGGGAGCCTGGCAGGGGTCAGAGAGGGGCACAAAATGAGCAATCCCGAACCCTCTGCCCCCAAAATCCTGCAAAGGAGCTGGGCCAGAGCAGGACTCAGCAGGATCCTGCAGGGCTGCTCGGGCTGGGGCGCCTGGGGAAGGCTGGCAATCCTCTGCCTGAGCCTGCTCTGCCTTCAGCGAAGCCAGCAGCGAATTTTGGGGTGCAGAGGTGTGGAGCAGGCAGAGCACAGCTCGGTTTGGGTGCTGGGAGCACCTGCAGCCCCAAGGTTGGGGGCTCTGGGCCAAACTCCCCGTGGCTGATACTGTTCAAGGGATCCCTTAGGACAGATCCCATAAATCAGCAGTGCCTGCCCCACTCAGGCTGTCCCCACCTGTGACACAGGTCACACGTGGGCTCCCCCCACAGTGACACGCCATCCCAGCAGTGGCACTCACGTCTGGTCCCTGTGGCCCTGCAGCCCCTCGGGGGCCAGGGAAGCCCTGCAAGCCCCCCTGGCCCCGGGTTCCTGGAGGGCCTTTTGCTCCTTGTGCTCCTCGTGGGCCCTTGGAGGAACAAAACACAGAGTGTCACAAAGCAGGGACACCAATTCCCTGATCCACAGGCAGGAATTCCCCTGGAGAACCCATCACTGGCACGGGTGGGCACCCCAAACCCTCCTTCCCCAGCATCCCTGGGGCACCTGAAATGGGAAAATACATTTTTTTAAACAGGCAAAGCAAGATGGAGCGGGGAAGGATGGATC